TCGAAATAGAAATTACTTTTCTAAAAATAGCAGTGATGACGTATGAGCTCAAAAGGAACAGACTTTTTAAAAGAGGAAGATGAACAAAATAACAGCTCTGAAGGCCAACATGAAACTGAAGGGCAAAGCAAAGTAATCCGACAGAAAACCAAAATCCATAAAATCAAAGTCCTGAATGCTTAACAGTCTCAGATAGCACAGATGGGGTTTGTAATCTCAGTGGTTATAAAGTTTTTAATAGCATTTTCTGAGATAATTCTGTTATTTCCTCGTCGCAAGGAACTGGGAAATCAGTGTGGTGTTTCAGATGTCGCTGGTGGTAAGTTTTGATAAAGGCCAGCGTTTTTATGCAATTTAATGGAGAAAAGGAAAGGAAAAACAATAATTGAACAAGCTGGAGTTGAGAATACTCTTTTATCTATCAGTTTATCATCAGTGAAGAAATTTTGTCAGTATGGCGAACTGTCATCCCTAGACATGAGAACGACCTTGACAGATACCGAGTTCTTTAAAGAGGAAGTTATGGAGCAACCTGAGTAACTTCACTGGCGTTAAATCACTACCAACAAATGGCATTTAGCAGGGGCCTAAAAAAAATAAAGTGTGAAATAACAGAGATGCCAAGGAGAGGATGTAATATACCCTCAATACCAACAACTGTTCATAAAAGATTTAAGAGTGACAATATAGCATCTGTTTTTTAAAATGGAATTGAGAGGAAACGTAAGGAAGAGAAACTGAGCATTTCAGTCATAATTTCTCACTTTTTAATTCAAATTTACCTTTAATTTGCATTTTTCCTCATTTCTGACTTTCTCAATTAAGCTCTTTCCTGATACGATTCTTTTTTCTCTTCACCTTTTCAATGACATACTTCCTGACCAAAAAAAACTTAGCATTTGAGTATTCAAGCATATTCTGTTCCGTCATTCTCTTTTCATTTTTCTGTAGAACTTCATATTTTTCTTTTTTGACCAGCCATAGTTAGGTATGCTTGAATCTTTCTTGATCTTTTATCATAAATCAAATGTCTATGCCTTATTAATTTTGAAGTTCCTGTTTGTCTTCTCTTTTTTTTGCTAAGTTATTTATTTTCTATGACACGTGATTCTTGAGCACGCCGATGCAATCTTGAGTAGAAAGGCAGCGTTCATTATCCTCATTCCATTCACGAGGCATAGAGAAATTACTTTTGTATTTAATCTTCCAAGGGAAACCTCTGGCAAATCAGTATTAGAACTAAATTCTTCAGAGTCTGCTCAGAGCCCCGACTAAATAAAATACATCCTTTCCACCCATCATATAGGCAACATCTGTTCATTCATATTCAAATTACCAGCTACATGGGAACGTGTGTGGACGCTCACACACAAATGCTATTCAAAGTGCTGAATACTATCAGTAGGTATTACCCAAGCGCATTCAACATTTACCCAAAAGAAGACAGGTCTAGGTCATGCGCCCCTCTCTCCGTGTGCAATTGTTTGCCGTTGTGCTCATGACGGTGCTTTGACCAGGGAACCGTGTGACAGAGCGGTCCCTACAAAGGGACACCTTCCACTGGAAATGCCCCCTCAGCAGCGGCAGCAAGAGCCTCTGAACATCTCAGGCCGGTCTTGTTCAATATCTTTATCAATGATCTGGACGAGGGGGATCGAGTGCACCCTCAGTAAGTTTGCAGACGACACCAAGTTGGGCGGGAGTGTTGATCTGCTCGAGGGTAGGAAGGCTCTGCAGAGGGACCTGGACAGGCTGGATCGATGGGCCGAGGCCAACTGTATGAGGTTCAACAAGGCCAAGTGCCGGGTCCTGCACTTTGGCCACAACAACCCCATGCAGCGCTACAGGCTTGGGGAAGAGGGGCTGGAAAGCTGCCTGGTGGAAAAGGACCTGGGGGTGCTGGTCGACAGCCGGCTGAACATGAGCCAGCAGTGTGCCCCGGCGGCCAAGAAGGCCAACGGCATCCTGGTCTGTATCAGCAATAGTGTGGCCAGCAGGAGCAGGGAAGTGATCGTGCCCCTGTACTCGGCACTGGTGAGGCCGCACCTCGAATACTGTGTTCAGTTGTGGGCCCCTCACTACAAGAAGGACATCGAGGGGTTAGAGTGTGTCCAGAGAAGGGCAACAAGGCTGGTGAGGGGTCTGGAGAACAAGTCTGATGAGGAGCGGCTGAGGGAACTGGGGTTGTTTAGCCTGGAGAAAAGGAGGCTGAGGGGAGACCCCATCACTCTCTACAACTCCCTGAAAGGAGGCTGTAGCGAGGTGGGGGTCGGTCTCTTCTCCCAAGTAACTGGCGAAAGGACGAGAGGAAATGGCCTCAAGTTGCGCCAGGGGAGGTTTAGATTGGATGTGAGGAAAAATGTCTTTACTGAAAGAGTGGTTAAACATTGGAACAGGCTGCCCAGGGGAGTGGTTGAGTCCCCATCCCTGGAAGTATTTAAAAGACGTGTAGATGAGGCGCTTAGGGACATGGTTTAGTGGGCATGGGGGTGTTGGGTTGACGGTTGGACTCGATGATCTTAGAGGTCTTTTCCAACCTTAAAGATTCTATGGTTCTATGATCTCCTCCTGCCTGGAGCAGCTATTATCCATCCCTTCTGGAAAAGCGCAGCAGGCCAGAAAGACGCAACCCAAAGGCCCCCACAGCTGGATCACACTGCATTAAGGACTCACCCTCCCATTCAAGTCAACGGGACTTGTTTAATTAACACATCGTGGCACAAATCCAGGGCATACATATCACAGCAGTTTGAATTCATCCTGTCTGGAGGCCACCAGTGAGCAGTACCGGGGAAAAAAATGTCCTCCATCAGATTCATTCAAGTAGCAAATGCCTGTTAGCGGGTCTGTGTACATCACACAGAACGTCCAGTGCTAACGATTAATGTGTTTAAAACTAGAATAGTGTATAAAATAATACCTGTGAAAACAATTTCCAATTCTGGCAGGATTTTTTTTTTTTTTAATTTTTTAATTTAGAAAATGTCACTTATTTTTCCAGCATAAGGAAAAGCCTTTATGAAGACTTTCTGAGGGATAATGCTTCATGAAAGTATCATTTTTGCAATTATTTCTCTTACCATGCTCAAAATCCTAACGTTAAAGACATTACTTGATCTTCTTATACACATGAAAAGGCTGATAAATGTATGAAGAAATCATCCAGCTAGGTCATTATGAAAGGAGTCTGCTAAATTTTTGAGCAATGGAATTACAACATTTCTTATCTTTAATGGAAGTAGAGCATGGGGAGTAATTGACCATCAGTTGTCCTATGAGAGCTCTTTAGCAGTCGCTTTGGGGCAAAAAGCATAAGAAAATATTCTAAAAATCTTGGAGTCAGGCAGCTTAAAGCTCTTTTCAATTTCTCCCTCTTGTCTTAAAATGTAATGAAGGTACAGACAAACCTATTTGTTTTATAAACCTATCCGTTCACCTCCTGCTCTCTACTTACTTTACACTGGCCATCATACGTTTGTAAGATCAAACAGCAAAAAAACCTCCAGGTCCCAGTTTCCCAGGTCCGGGCAAGCAAGATGTGGAGCTAGGCAGACTTAGAAGGGACTCTAACACATCAAAACCCTTTACAAATTTGCCTGTGTTCCTAACGATGAGGGAACACGCTACGGAAGAGGATTGAGAAAAGCATCTCCCACAGGCCCAGCTATGCTTCCTGAAACTCTCTTCAGCCGAGGTAGTTCCTAGCCGCACTGTTAAATCAGATCACTCTCTTCTTGTTCTAGCTCGCGTACCCCGGCAAGATTAGGCTAAGGGCCATTATCTCGCCTATAGACGGTAAGCGCCAGGAAAATTTGATTTGAAATTAATCTACCCCTGAAGCGCGACCTGTTTTTCTCATCATCTCAGCTTACACCATTACTGCAAAAATGGTACTTGTGGTCATTGAATGACGCACCAGGACTCAGCCTGAACGCTGTTAGTTAGCTTGATGATTTACCGGGAGAATGTCACAAGCTGACGAGACGCTTCAGAAAGATGCAGTTTCTTTATCATATACAGTCCTCGTCTATACCATCTGTTCAGCTCTTCATAGCTACAGACAGTTGCCATAGTTAAGGCAGCATTTACAAACATTAAATTATTTATTCGATAAATTGTTCCTAATCCTAAACAGAGGAAATAATAGGTACCTCAAATACCTGTTAGGATAACTTGGTCAATTAATCTACGGTGCTAATAGCGTGTCTGTTTGGGAGGGCAGAGGAGATCGGGACAGTTAGCTCGGAAAAGAAACCATCACCCAGCTAGTTTGCAGCATGTTGTTCACTGCGGCACACGTTGTGTGCCAGCTCCGAAATCAGGGCGGGCAGGCAGGCAGCTGCCTCTACGGCCTCGCCCAAACCAGGGGGGGAAGAACTGGCCATCGGTCAGCCCCTGCGACATCACCACGTTCCCC